ATACATACATACATACATACATACATACATACATACATACATACATAACCACATTATAAAGAAGCTTAACTGTGACTGTAAAGATCAATTTTGATCTTTTGTGCAGATTGCTTTTGTGGTTGAAAAATAATAGTTGGAAAAAAATCACAAAATTGGAAGCTGTCAGTTCAGAAACCAAATAAATAGACCACTAAAAGTCTATTCTTGTTGACGAAGACACAGCAGATGTGTCCAAATCACGCAAAGAAAAGCGCAGCTCACAGGATTTGTTGAACAGAATGTGCTGGGATTTATCTAAACTTTAAAAAAAAAAAAAGTCCACTCACTGAATTAACAAACCTGCAGTGCAAAAAGGTGACACTCCCAGAGAGCGGACCAGTTTTCTGTTCATTTCTATTCTACGTAGGAACCGCACAAAGAACGGATGGCATAAAGATTCCCCTTTTTTATAAAGGATAACATATAGCAGGGTCAAATCTGAATTGCTCTGAATGTTTTACCCTCACACTGATTTCAGGGAGCGATAAACAAAGCAGCAGATGTCCCTGGCTTTGCCTTCATGCGGCCTTATTTCCTGCATATCTTTGGAGACGTTGCCGTGAGTCAGCAATCAGGTTTACGACTGTCACGTCGAACATACCTGGCATACTCTCTGCTTCTAGGTATGAAGTATTAGCCCACTGGTGCATAAAATAAAAGGTAGAAACTTGTACTGCCACCTGAGTTATGTGAACCATGCGTGGAAGTTAAGACAACCATTTATTTATTGGCATGAGAGTAGATTTTGCCTGCGATAGGACCATTCTGAATTTGGAATAAACACAATCTGCTTTATGCCAGTTAGTTTGTAAGGAAGCGAATAACCCCCATTTGAAGTTAATCGAACAGAAACAGGAGGTGTTTTGGTTTTTTTTGTTTCCCCTGTGGTTTTGTCTGTTCTTGCTATTTGAGTTTAGCCTTTTGCGTTTGTGCTTGTATTCAAGTTTTCAGTTCTTGTACTAATGTTCTCGCTTTATGTTCTGTTTCCTGTGGTGTCCCCGGCCTGCCATGCATCGGGACTAGTTTTTGAGTTTCCACTTTATGGTGGCGTGGTTTAAGGATTGTGGTTTGGGTCTCTCAAATTTAGCTTTAGCTTTGTATCTGGCACACGTTTTTTTCTGCATTTGTAAGATGAAACATTCTAGTTCCTCTGGAGCTCCTTGTGTCGCTTGTTTTTCTGGCCTCACACTCCTCCAAAATGTGCTCCCTCCCCTCCCTTCCGATGAACTCCATAGTTCATCGGAACACTTAACTGTGCTTGTCTTTGTGTCGCTGTCTCTGTGGCATTTGCTTCAAATAAGTCAAAAGTATGTAAAAATATCTTCAGGCTTCCATATTGTTTGAAAGCTTGACTCTGGGTGTAGGAATAATTAAGGAATACATTCTTAAAGACTAAGAAAGAGATAACTTATATATATTCCTGTATACATATCTGATGGAGGGAATCCACAGCAAGTGATTCCTCATGTTTCATTGAACCATTTCATCTGTGAGATTAAAAAATATATAATTTCCAAAGCACCTCTTGAAGTTTAAGGATAGAAAAAAAACAACAGCGCGACGATTGCGCCTTTCTTTTTTTCTATCCGTCATTGTACGTTTTGCCATGTCGTCATGTACGGTGATGCAGGGAACACCTACTGCTGTGTCCTCTCCAGCTCTCCGTACAGCCAGCCGTCCTTCTCCTCCTGGATGAGGAGCGCGATGACGTCCCCGTCGTCGAAGCTGAGGAGCGTGTCGTTGTTGCCCGCCGTGTGGGGGAATATGGTCCTGACCCTGGACCTCCTGCCCACGTTCAGTCCCGAGGACTGGGACGTGGATCTGGACAAACTCCTCTCCTCTCCGAGACTCCCCTGATCTGGAGGCGGATGAGGTTCGATATCAGTCATTTGGGGACGTTCACGTCATTCGGCGACTGATTGGGAGCCGCCGGTACCTGAGTTGCGATCCGAAGAGGTGGTCAGCGGAAACTTGGGCTCAGGGTTAAACATGCTGGCCAGCGGGCTGGTGATAGCCTTTACGGGTGGTGCCGGAGGAGGGTCCATGGACCTGACGTTGTTCTGAGGAAGAGGGGGACAGGTTAGCAGGTGCACGAACACGACAAACAAGGACTGGCAAAGATTTGGATATCACCAAGCAATATGGGCGGGTAATCCATTTGGCTAGACTGAAGACCTTATCAGTGCGATAACTACAAATGGCCGGTGTGGTAAATTAAACCTCCGCCTGCGTGGCCATGGTGGACTTTAACACTTGGTAACGACAACAGTACAGGCAGCATTTCCAATGGCTGGTCGCCAGGCGACGATGTACTACAGCAGCAACCGAGAGCTTCCATTTGGTACGACACATATCAGAATTTTAGGTAGAGAGAGTATAAATGACCACAAACAGGATGAGACACATTTCCCCCAACAGGCTATCTACTGTTTAGTTCCATTCTTCCATCCCAAAAGGCGTTAATGACGATAGCGCGTCCAAAAAAGTATTAAGTTAAAAAAAACGACCTGAAATCTTCTACCTTTACACAGTACAGACTCACCCTGTTGTGGTGCTGGACCATGGGCGATTGTTCCGGGGAGGAGGACAGGCCGTCGATCATGGTGGCCACGGTCTCCGGCACCTTGGTGATGTCGCTGCATTTTTCCTGCCAGGTGGGCAGCTTGGCGGAGAGGATCTCCTTCGCCTTGAAACCGGGAAGCAGCGGGGAAGTTAAAGAGAGGGGACCAAAAGAACATTCCGGTCGCGGCTGGCCTCTCTTACCTTCTCGTGGAAGTTGCTGAACTGGTAGGAGAACATGCAGTGCTTGTCTGCCAGGAAACAGAAGCGCCTCTTTTCTTCCAGCAAGGCCTCCCGGCACCCGTCTGCGATGAACTTCTGCATGTCCATCTGGCGGGATGAGATGGTCTCCATATACTAAAGGAAAAGGTAAGAGGACATTAAAAAAATGCTCGATTTTTTAGCTGTCTAGACGTTAAATAGAGATATTGACATTTTATTAAAGTGGAAAAAACAAAACTCTAACAGCTGCTCTTATTATTGTTTCTTTTCCCACATGGATTCTTGGTTTTAATGTTATTGTTTTTAATCATCTTTCCATTTTCATTACTTTTGCTTTTATTTTCTAAAATGTTTCTGTTAATTACAGTTTTGACCTTTTTAAAATGTATTTTCTTTTTTTTCCCATTTCTGGTACACGCCAGCACAACAGTCAACAATTTGGACAGAAACTCTTGTTTACATGTATTCACAATTAGACTTTAGCTGAGTGCTGGGCCTTTATCAGACGCCATAATGGAAAAAAAAAAACCTTGATCTTTGATTTCCCTCACAAGCTGTTTTATGACTGTAGGGACTGCATTTTCCGCTAAGTGATAGTTCGTCTTCCTCATGCTGAGTAACCTGAGATGGAAAACAGGCTCTTGAAGCTCCCTTTGATTAAAAGCTAACTGACTGGGTAAAAACCTGATATCTACACATGTGCACACAAATCAAGTCTAATATGAGCTTCGCAATCAAAAGCCTCTACACTTAGAGACGGGTTTGTTTGGGTTGGGCTGAATCAATCTCTGCTCAGTAGGAGACCAAAATCGGAGCGTCTTAGCTACAGAGAATGATTCTGCCCGTTACCTCATGCAGATGAGCAAGTAAACCTACTGTTGGAAGCCCTGAATCATTTTAAATTGCTTTTAAATCTACCCTGATCTTTTTGTTCCCCCCCCTCTATGTCCAGCCTGCTATTTCTTCCATTTACCCGGGTTGTCATGGTGACGGAGGAGCAGCCTGTCTCCAGGGGCTCCGTAAAAAAGCCCCCTTTCCAACTGGCTCGTCTCATTTTCTCAGACGCTGAATCGAGGCTCTTCATTTTTTTTCCATTTTCATCACAAACGATGGGCCAGACTCTCAGCGAGAGACGGACAGCGCTCATTACCAGCAGCTCACTCAAGCCCCAAACATGATTGTTGGAAGGCAGGCGTCCTGTCCACCGGTGTCATTTTGATCAGATAATAAAAAAAGTCCAGTGGGAGGGAGGGAGGATGGGGCCCAAGTTTCAGCTCAGCTTGAGAAACAGGATCGGGCTATCAAGCTCCACCCAGATAAGACAGCTTATTGTGCGGGGGGCTTTTTAAAAGGTGCCATTCAGCTGCACGGACAAACAGCAGGCCGATACTTTAGACACACATTCTAAACACCAGCATCGCTTTCCTAGACCCAAACACTTTCAACAGGTCAATTAAAGGATCTGGATAACTCTCCATAAACAAGCGGGGCTTTACACACCCATACATCATCTCAACGAGGCCGTGAAAACAGTTGATAAATCACAATACAGGAATCATCATTCAGGCTTTGCTGTGTCCTTCCTTCGTCTCGCAAAGTTGACATAAAGCAAAGCTATATTTCAAAAGTCACGGCCTCCTCTCAGGAGATGCGAACAGCAAATAGTGTGTGAGATCTGAGATTTGGAAACATTTACTTTAACCAGCGTACCGAGAGCCACCAAACAGCGTACGACAAACCCACTCATGCACGGCAATGTAAACACGGACGGGTGCAGCTTCAAAGACAGCTTTGTGTGCCTTTGCCCTCAGAGCAGTGACACAGGGATGTTTACGATGGGATTTCGGAGTTTAAGGCCTTTGAGAGCACACCAACAATGCGCTGTCACGCTTGTCTCGTGTCTTAGGAGTAACTGTCGTTGTGGCATCCCAGATCTTTTTTATTTTCTCGATCTTTCATTTTCAGTTTGCCGCTTACTTCTCGGTCAGACACAACGGCTTTCCGATCAGCCACAATACACCTGTCACCGGGTTTAAGGCGGTACCTTCCCTGTTGCCTGAGGGCTAGATTTAGAACAAGACATAGAAAAAGTTCTGAGGTCAGCACACAACTTCAGTTCAAAGATAAGTGTCACAAGATACGCAAAACAATACCCTGTCTAGCAGCTGATTGGATAAGACTAATATCATATCTAATATCTAATTACTATTTGCGGTGGCTCTGTGTTGCTTCATGCCTAAATGGTAAAAAATTAAAAAGTCCAAATCCCTATAACACTTAAGGTAAATCCCAAAATTCATCTTCATTGATCATTGTCATCTTTTGAGCACTGTGAGCCACAAAAGAAAAAAAAATCCGCAGCAGCATAACTTAAACAACCATTAATCTGTCATCTATACAGGAAACAGGGAGAAATTATCGAAATTTAGCAGCTGAAAGGGAAGTTCTTTTCAAAACAAGCAGCTAATAACTGACGTAGTTACCTGATAAGGCCTGCATGGAAATGCTTCTTTACTTTTTCTTTTCCCCACAAAAAAACACCTTGTTTAAGGGTCTGTTTCTCGAAATCCTGCTCCTGGACACACCTTTTCTAAACATTATCGGGGAAAATTGTTTCCAGGAACATGACCTGGAAAAACTGGAATAGGCCATCCATTACTGCAGTCTAGGGAACATTCAGCTTTATGCTGCTAAAAAAAAAAGTGACCTTTCTCCAATCTACACCTCCAAATGTTGTCTGACCAATCAGACCTCAAAACGTTCTCGATGTGCCCTCGGCCCAATTTAAACCTCTGAAAGCTGCCCTGCTCTGCTGTCCTACAGTACTGCATAAAGATTATGCTGCAAACCGAATGTTTATATTGTACGAACAGCATAAACAGCATAAAATAAAGTATGTAATTCGATTAATCTCAAACCTCTAAAAGCAGTGTTAAAATGTTAATCTAACCAAAATCTATCAATACCGCAGGAGCTGGCTTGGTTTGAATCTCACCTCGTTCTCTTTGATGTCATACTTGGAGGAGTGTTTTGCCTGGCTTTTCCTCCTGAGTTTCTTCAGATCTGTCTGAGAGCGCTCTAGGCAGTCCTGCTTCATTTTGTGCTCCGTCTGGTAGCGCTTGAAAGTGGCCTAAAACCAGACATCAAGCAAAAGATGATGCATGAGACAAAGGAGACGGTCAGTGACAACAAAAAGTTCCTCAGAAATGAGACGCTGAAATATCCCTTAATGTTTTAAACCTTGTATGCGGACACTTACGTTCATGTACTTCACATCCATGTCTGTCTTCTTCTCCAGCTCGATTATAATATCTCTGTGGAACCTTTTAAACTGTAGAGAGAAAAGAATCACAATAAAGCCATTGCAACATTTGTAATCTTGCATGCATTTTCCTTCAAGACCAATACAAAGTCCAGTCACATGGCTTCTAAAGTGTGTCATGGCTGTGTAGAACATATGCTAATGTGTTTCCTAAAGAGTGAAACTAACACACCAGAGCTTTTAGCAGCTTTTTATAGATACAGATTTACAAGTTTGAGCTGTGAAATGCAAGGAACGAGTTTAAATAAGGGAGTAGAGATCGCAAATTGCCATTTTTTGAGCGTGGCTGGTTGGGATAAGTTATGTGTTTGTTGCCCAATAAATTTGACAAACATCAGTTGTTCAGTCATATTGTCTCTAAGATCCAGGAGGTAGTATTTAATAGATTAATAAGATTGGTGCCCCTGCTGAACATGTCATATTTCATGCAAACAAAAGCATTCGTGGTTATGAATATTTGTCTGGCATATTTTTCATCTATATATAAAAAAAGATATAGATAAATCTGCATCAATGTCACAGATCATGCTTGTTTTAAAATGACACCTCTCACAGGTAAACACATTTCCATCCATTTAACCAAACTCCTCTCCAGCTGCCCGTCATCAATTCTCCTCGGCAGGTCGAGTCACTAATGCGTCTGCTCATGCTAAAACGTTGGTCAGGTTTCCTGTTTTTGCCTCCGCTGCTTAACGTATCCTGGTTTGGTGAACATGACTGGATATAAAAGTGGTTGACCCAGGGTACGAGCGTAAAAAGGCATGTTTACAAATGCTCAAAAGTGCATTGAATGAGAGAGATCCAATAAACATTTTGAAAAAAAAAAAAACGTCCTCGTTTGCTGCTTTACAACTATTGTGGCTGTTTAGCGGTGAACTTTGTTTCCCCCATAAACGTCTGTTTATTGGGAATACTACTGCTTTGGCTGTAAGCTTTATCGTTCCACTAACCAACGCATCAATAATAATTGGAGTTTTACAATTCTAATCATTGTAGAAACTGACTCAATAAACACTGGAGTTTCGGTGATGTCACAGGTCATTATTTTTATTATTGAAAGCTACTCACGTTGTCATCCAGTTCATTGTGGACCTTCCGGTGGGCCTCTGCAATCTCCATGAGAACAACACCTAAAAGATTTTAGCAACAGTCTTTTAGTCATTTTTATAACGCTGGTACATGTTCAGTTCCAGTCTTTAAAGCTGAATCATCTGCTGACTGAATCCCGATGACAAATGTGTGTGTGCACACACAGACGCTAAACAACTCGCATGACAAAGCAAGCGTTGGAAAACCTGAGAGCCCATTCTCAACAAGGCCTAAAACATGGCTACAGGTCATTTTGTGGCACAATCCAAACTTCCCTTGGAGTAAATGCATATCCCACATCTCATATTTTCCAGATGAGTTGCCTTCTTTAAATATTTGAACAGCTGTCAATAAGTAATCTCTATGAAAAGTGCAGGTATTGTGCAGTCGGATACAGAACAGTCTCCATTCACGGGGCGGGCCACAGAGCAGCATACGCCGTGAAACAATGAAGGGGAGTCAATGTTGTTAACACAAGTGGACGGTCGTAGCTAAGCAGTTTATACCGCTATCACTGTCACAATGGGGCAAAATCTAGAGTCGCAGTTTACTGTAGGACACAATGCTCCGGTGAAACCTGAAAGCTTGACTTTTTTTTCCCCCCCCTTTTTAATTCTGAACATTGTGCCTGAACGTGACAGCGTCGGTGTTTATGGAAGAGGTAAATGTTAAAGAGCCATCTCAAAGGAGGTGAAACCCACCTCCCCGGGGAAAAAACAAACAACACAGGTGACTGTTTCACGTTGTCATTTTTTTGGGTGAATGGCCCACGTCAGCACACCCCATCTAAGCATTTATGAACGCTGAAGCCGATCCCTGACATTCCAACATGCACGCCTTCATCTAAAACAAACAGATGTCATGTGCGGCTGATTATAGCGCCCGCCTATAACAACATTGCCCTCGGAAGGTCACCAGAAAGCACTGGTAAAGGCTGCCTTTGTGTTGGGATGTCGGGGGGGTGGCACCGGACCTGGAGCTGTGAGCACAGCCTCGACAACAGACCGCCCCGGGTTGGGAGGGGGAAGCTGAGAAAAAGCCAGCGGGGGGGGGGGGGGGTTCAAAGAGGCCATTGTGCACCTTCAGGTTTCACCTTTGGGGCGTACGAGGTGTGAAAACCTTCCTGAGGGAAGGTAAAGGCTACAGAAACTCATCAAAAGATACACTGGCCAACTGAAAGGCCATGGAAAAAGCTTTGCCTTTGCTATTTTTTTCCCCCACACATGCTAAATTTCCAAAAAATACAAGTCAAGTACAACACCTTTAAAATACAGAAGCTGTGACAGAGGGAAATCTTTTTTCTTGATTTATCTTATCTATCCAATCAATGCCTTTTGGTAGTGTTTTCCCCCCATTTTGTAGATTACATCAAAACATGTTCACTCTGTTTCACTGCATGTTAACTCCTATACTTTTAACAGAGGTTGATACAAGACAGTTGTGGAAACCTACACCATCTGTGATTCACATGTTCGGTGATGATTCAGCATCACGACGGCTGGTTCACTCTGTTTGCCGCCCATCCAACTCAACCAAACATTCGCACAGCGCTTCTATTACGAAAATGACACAAAACAACTAGATGACATAAACTCTAACCTTATCATTTAATTCCTTGTGCTTTGTAATGTAGATGTAAAATCAGAGGATACGCCCCTTCCTGTCTCTTCACCCCCGCTGGTCCAGGAAGATGTTCTCTCCAGTCTAACTAAACCAGGCTCTCGGAAAAAGTTCAACTTAAAGGTTTTCCTGTTTTGTGACAAAATCCAGAAACGGCTGAAATGAGTGCGATTGCTGTCTTTTGAAGGAACGAGCTTTAACTGGCAGGTAAAAACAACCGACTCTGACGAGACATTTTTTTTTTTTTGTGTTCCTCGTTGCATTTAATGCCTCGTTCACAAGACTTTTACAAGAGGAGTAACGCCTATTGCATTTGTTCCAACAGATGATGTGTTTTATGAGCCGGAAATACTTTGCGTCGCCACAAATACAACCTCCCTGGTGTTAGATAAGGACGGTGTCTACCCGAACCTAACCCTAACCCTCAGTTCCACTCCTTTTTGTTCTATTCTTCTTCTATCAATTAATCTTGAACTTTGCCATAGTAACCGGGCCATCAGCCGGTAACACAATTACCTCATTGGGAAGCATTGTTGATTATTCACACAGGCTTGCAGTGGCTGTGATAAAACATGGCCTCCTCCTACATGAGTCAGGATCTAATAGAATATAAATGGACGTCATTCCTCTCAAGTTAGCAAAAGTTTGACTGTTGCCATGACTGAGTTTATCCACTTGTGTCATCAATGATAAATCATCAGGATCATTTCCATGACGATGATCAAGAGCTCCCTTTTTGGCAGGCGAAAATGAATGCTGTTTGTTACCTGATCATGTATATTAATGGTGTCTGCAGCAGATCAATGGCCAAAAAGAGCTCAGTGGTCTGCAGTCATAAACCGACCAATCTAAAGCCCGACGCATAAATGACCGAGCGTCGATTAAATCCCACTTTACATTCTGCAGGGTGGCCCTCAATTAGCCGGAAGGTTTATAAAAAAGCAGTTTCGAGGAGGTGGTGGGCACCCAGAGAGAAAATTGTGATGTTCTTTTTGCAGGCAGCAATTTCCCTTCAAACACTGGTTGGATTTTTCCACGGCTGTTTACAGACTGGAGTTGCTGAGAGGCACCAAAGGCATTTAGAGGTTCAAACATCCCCATTTTCTGAGAAGAGAGTGACTCTGGTCAGATCTTTAGCAATCTTCCAGCTATTCCCCCCCAGTGTACTGTAGCAGATTAAAGCTCAAGTCAGGGATCATAAGGAGGAATGGAGCGTGACAGAAGTCAGTCACAACTGACTGAACAGTAAATTGACTGGCAAAAAAGGATCCGTCCCTGTTGTATTTAACATATTTGCAACAGTTTCTTCCTCGTCAGTCTGTCTGATGCTCGTGTAAGTGTAATTCAAAAAGTTCTTGCAGTCACACTTCCGTCTCTTTGTGTAGGTTACTATCCTCCACAACTGCCTAAACATACTGTAAATAACATACAGTTAAGGCCAGATTTGAATAATTTCTAAACCTCTTAGTGCACAAGTACAAACATATTCTACAGATTATTATTGTATCATTCAGTTTCTTTTTTCAAACTTTATGCTTTGCTTGGTGTTTTGGTGGTTTGATTTACTACTGAGTATATATGCTTAAGCTTAGAAAAATCCTGCTCTGGTTACATACAAAAGAAACCTCAGGTGATGTTCCTGACAGGAATGTGGAATCTAATAATAATTGAATATGACTTCTGAGAAATACTTGATCAATAACATTCTCACGGGGGACAGTTTCTGATTAGTGACATACTTATGGCATAAGGGTTACTGTGTGTTACAATCCAATGTTTTGTCAGATGGCTACAATACATTTGAAATAAATTCCAGCAATATTAGTCATAACGTAAACCTGTCTCCAGAAAAGAAAGTGTTCCCGTCAAGTGCCCCAAATCACAATCACACAAGCTATCAGCGGGAAACACTCCCCAGTCTTTCTTTTCTCCTGAGAGTACAAAAAATCACCCTGGCTGACATTATCTTTTCTTCTTTTTTTTTTTTTTTAAGTTTCAGCTTTTCAAACAACAATTTAATCCGAGACTTGACAAACAGAGCAGAGAAAAGGTGGAAAGGGTGTGGCTCGTGCTATTCATTCCCCGCTGAAAATTTTCAGGCCTTCAGCAACCGCTGCGCCGCAAAGTGGAAGAGCAACTCCCCGAGGAGTCTCCGACTTCTCAGTACACGAGGCCACGAACAGAACATTTTGTTGTTTTACTTTCACGAAAAAAAAAAGATTACTGAAACGTTTATCTGTAAGCCACAATGCAGGCAAACCGTTTCCATTTCAGGAAAGCTGCATTTATCCCTGTTGCTTTAGCATAGGTTAACTGCCATGGGCTGAGGCTGTGTGGGCATCCATAAAGAAGTTTCTTCTCATTTAAAATGAATCTGTGTTTTTCTTTAAGGTAAACAGAATGCATTTTCAGATCAGCTAATCACACAGGTGGTAGAAAAAATCTCCCGTGGTCTGTTCCGAATCCTGACTTATCCACATTAAATATCAGATAAGGGACTCATGAATAATGGTTTTGTTTTTCTGGAATCCACACAGGGAGAAAAGAGCAAAAGGAACACAGACACACCTTATCCGCGAATGCTCATCTTGCGTTCAGCGCTTAACTTTCCTTAAGGCAGATGACAAAAAGTCTTTTCTTGTGACTAATATACTTACATCTCAATTATGGCAGCAATCTGAAAAAAAGAAAAAGAAAAACAAATAGACGCCAGCGGAGCCCAAGTTAACGCCTCAGGTAGTTTTCTGCAAATAGACTACCTGCCAACCTCTGTGACGCAAGTGCTTTTGCAGCACACAACTCATAGAGGGGGGGGGGAATCTGTCACTTTTGAGCAAAATCTTTAAACCTCTTCCGAAGCAGAAAACTTCCAAAGCACCGTTTCTGTTCCATCACGCCTGACAGTTTAGCAGATTTAAGGAAGCCATATTAAATTGTCCACCTTGAACTATTATTCAGAGATAGTAAAACTGTCACACGGGGCCATGATTAAACATCAAGAGGGTTGAGTGAAAGCCGCCGGGCAGACAGACGATCGGGGGAAATACAAACTCTAGTGTCCGTGTGTTTGCTCAGTGTGTTTGCCGTGTTTTGCGTTAGACTGGGTGAGAGAACTCCCACCGTCTTGTCATCTGTCGCTGGCAAGGAAGAGCTCCAGACTCTGGAGATCAAGGACCACGCGCTCCTTGAGACTGTGGCAGGTGTTTATGACTGGTGTCAAATATTGTTTCCAACAGAGAAAAAGACTCACACACTGCACAGGGTCCAGTGAGGCTCTGGTCTAAGAGACGTACAGTGACTGAAAGCAGTTTTTCTTTTTAACATGGCTATGTAATGGCTTTCAGTTCTAAGCTGCACCCATTCACTGAGCAGACGACAACAAGAGATTTACACCTAAGCTCTCCATTTGTGTTGCAAAGTTGTCGCTTTCCTAAGACCACGACTGCTCTCGTTCCCAAAGTTGACTTTGTTGGTGACTTTTGACGTGCTCAAAAAAGAAAAGAAAAAAAAAACAACAAAAAAAAAGGGCAAAGACGCCGCGTAACATTTAATGAAGCGATGAAATGCGGCCATTGTTCGCTGACGGGTGTGGCTAAACAAACTTGATCGAGGTTTCATAACAGCACGGTGCGGAATGTCTCCCATCACGCTGAACATTTTGTTTGCCAGACAGATGGCGAGAATCAAATCACGACGGTAAAGGGAAGATTTTCCCAGTTTTGCTTCACTACATCGCAGCTAAATGGACCAAAACTAGTGGATTTCCTAACATGAGTTCCTGGTGCTTTGCTGGCCCTCCTCACTGCTTTGTTTAGATTTTAATACAACGTGACCGAGAACACATAATCCCTTTCATGCAACGTACTCTTTGTAAAAAATCCCTTAGTTAAACAGTTGATGTTTAGATAATACAGTCATAAGGGATGATCAAATCCACCGAGTTAGAAATGTTTTCCTTTTTATAACAAGCAGAACGTGGCATTATTTTTCCATCTGGGCCCGCCTGTTCTGCTTTCCTGTCTGTTTACATAAACCTGAGCCTGTGAGAGTCCAATTTGTGAAACCCATGCACCAGGAGTGACGCAGCAGAATCCAGAAAGCAGCGTGATGGGCTATTACTGCGCATAATTATGACCCCTAAAAAACAGTGGGCTCGCTCTGAATTTGAGCACAGATAGAATAATTGGAGATGACTCACAGGACGAATCGAAAACACTCCGAGGCAGCTTCTGAGAAGAGCCTTCAATCAGAGTTACCAAAGCGATAACTCATTTTTTACAGCTAACGTGATTAGAGAGCTTTTTATCCCCAGAGGCAGCACTGAATTGCTTTTGGGAGCCAAAATTTTTCACCGTGTTGAGGTTGGCTCATTTGACCATTATTAGTTATCAGCTAATTCCAGTAAAACAGCTCCCTTTCATTTTTGTTTTGTATTGTTGGTGCTACAACCTTACAAGATTCAGTCCAGTCTATTGAGATGTCACCCCAATAGTTTTTTTTTTAATGATAAATGAAATAAAGGACTGGGAGATACATTTCAAGTCTGACACACTTTGGCGGAACAGAGTCCTGTCAATCAGAAACTAGCATCACACAACTTATTATTTTCATTTTTGTGATAGTTTCAATTGTTTTATACATAGCCAACCAGGAATTAGTTAACTAAAATGGAGAAAAAAAGGAAGAAAAATGACTTGTTTATGTTTTGTACAAAGGTAATTATTTCAACATTGAGAATTAAAAATGTGAAAAAATTTGAAATCCTAATTTTTAGCTCATTAAATGTGCTATTTCGTGTGAGGCCACCTCCCTGAAGTCACTTTGCAATGGCAGGTAAAACGTTAACAGGCTTCACAAAGATAAGTCATGTTAAACGTTACAAATATGTGAGTCATTGTTAAAGGTCAAGTGTTTCTAACAACAATCAGGCATGTGCTTGATAAACAGCTGGGCGGATGAAGGTAAAACATCTGGGGAGGGCTCAAGCCCCCGAAGACCCTACCTGGACGGCGGTTATAAAACTCCAAACCAGTGTTTACGACTTAAACCTTATCGGAACTGAGGTTACTAATGTCAGACGGGGAGTTTTTCTTAAAGCCACATACACCGTAAGACTTATATGTCCCAACTGGAGCGGTCAACCGCCTGTTGACCGGTGGGGGGACTGCCAGATTACGGCTTTTCCTCACCGGCATCACTTTTCAGACCAAGAGGTAGCGTCTCTCTACTGTCCATCTTACAGTCTTTTTCGCTACATATTTGCATTATGTACAGACACGGGCACGAGAAAACGGAAAACATAAATAGAAAATAGGAAAAGAACATTCCTATCATGTCAGATGAATCATCTTTGCATATTTAAGCAGCACCTACAGCACAGACATTGAGACACAGATATCACCCCCCCCCCCCCCCAACCCCCACCCCCCCTTTAGATGAAGATGACTGTGTAGGGAGTCTGAAGTCAGATTTGCATGAAACTCACCAAGCTCTCTGGAGACCGGAGACACAATAGCGCTTTCTCCCACCTTTGACACTGCCTCAAAGTAGGCTTTTCCAGCTAGAGTCATAGCTGTGGAGTAAATGAAAAAGAAAAAAAAACAAGCATCTTTCAGTTTAAGAAGACTCCCAGGACTATTTTTTGCAGACACTTTAAGCTCATAGGGACTGGCCAGATAGCGACATGTGGCCTCCTTATTTTTTCCCCAAGTGAAAGTGAAAACCGTGTTTACCTGTGACTGATTTTTCATAGCTCTTCCCGAGGTTGACCAGGTTCCTCAGACCCGGGTTCAACTGCTCCATCACATTCTGGAACAAAAACAGGGGTGATTATATATTTTTAGGAGCACTATGCAACCTCCAAGTAGCTTCCTCTTTAGAGGGATAATAAACATGTCATTTTTTATTAAAGGACCAAGGAGGGTGTTGTAAAGGGTGTTTTTTTTTTTTTAAATGAAAGCAATTGTAAGTGCTCGCCCCGTCGCTCTACAAATATAGCCGCACAGCAACAATAAAAACTATCAATCTTTAACTTGACCTCTCACGTATGCAGTAAGCTTTCCCCGGGAGGAACGAAGTCCCTCACAAAGTGGGAGCTATTTGCAGCGTGTACCTCACCACCTCCTTCTCACTTTATTGAAAAGTCCCAACAATCCGGAGCTCACCACCCCCTACCACCACCCACCACCACCACCCCTTCCATTCCACTGGCACACCCTCAATGGAACAATGAAGGGGGGGCAGGTATGACTTTGCATTGAGGGAAAATGAAAATGAAAAAAAAAAGAAACGCCAAAAACAGAAGAGAGGGAAACAGGTTTCTTGATTCCCCCTTTCTCTCTCCCTCCCAGCTGAAACCCACAAGAACGCCACATTCCACGGGTAGAAAGAAAAAAAGCTGTGCTCAACCATCCCGTCCCATAAAGGAAACTTTAAATCTCCCTATCAGCGTTTCTGCATGGTGTGACACTCACAGAAGTGGCAAAAGTGTAAAAAAAGCGATTAGATTAATTTATGTGAAGATAACACCAAAGATCAAACTGCTGATCCCATCACTTTAAACGGTTGATTGATGGCCTGACTTGTCTTTCTGTCAGCCCATGGCACATTCAAGTGCAGGGCTTCAACAACACTCAGTTAGGATGTCATAAAAAAATTAAAAAAACATTGTGCTGGCTTGATAAATAACGAGTTTTAATTTCACACTAGTACCAAACAACATTGTCAGCTGTCTATGTTGGATATACCTTTAATTATGAGAGAAAAATGTAGGTCTCTGTGTTTAGAAGAGGCTCAAACTTGGAGAAAATGAGACAGTTTGGCCTCACATAAACGCAACTTTGACCTGGAGAAAGCGCAGGTGGCTCTTAAACGCACTAAAAATGCAACTAATGACACCCGAACGTGAAAATAACGCCTCATAAATCGGTTGTTTTCTTTTGCTTTCCAGGTGTGTGACTCACCTTGAATGTGCTCTCAGTCAGCTTGCTCACACCGTCGGGAGACCGAGACATGACGGCAGGCTGTTTTCTCAACAACAGATGTGGAGAGAGAAATATAAAAAATAATAATAAAAAAAAAGAATATATACGTGTATAGAATCAGTGGAAATCAAAAGGGTGTCTGCAATCCAAAGAATACATCCAGAGGTTCGGCTCTGCTCCCTGTGCTGGGCAGTGTGAGGGGAGGACCGGGACCTGGACTCTACCCCCAGAGGGAGGGGGGGGGGG